GGATCAAACACTAAGGAAAAGATCTGTGCTGCACTGCTTTTCTGACTTTTTCTCCTTCCATTTTTTCTAGTGGAACAGGAACTTTTAAAAAAACCTGAAATGTACTTAGAGTCCTTCCTGGACACAGCTTCAAATAGCAATGCCAGCTTCCAGGCTCTGAGAGAATGACAAGACACTATAAACAAAACCCACTTTGTAGGAAAAAAACATAGCAACAAATTTCAGGAGCGAGAGCAGATGTTACTCTTATCCTCCAAGCCTAGATCACCAACTGATTAAACCAATTTTGTAATTTGTTTTTTCCAAAGGAGGGAAGGCATGCTTCCTCTCACTGAAGTGGCAGTTGCAGCATCTCTTTATAAAGCAGCCCCAGGATTCCATTTCTCTGCATAGATGGCAATTTCCTTGACTTAATTTCCTAAACGTACCCACTCATAACCAATTTTTTCCCCCCTCATAATACAAAAAGAGTTTTTTGCTGAACCAAGTCTGTATCAAATATCAGGAAACAGCACCACACACTGACATTGGGAAGCAAAGTGATTAGCAAACACTGAGTTATATCCTGTTTTCACAGAGCTCCTACACTTCCAAAAATAAAGGTAATATTCTTATCTATTATGGTTTGAATTTCAGCAAGCTAGAAAGAACAGCAACACCAGAAGTTTTTCAGCACCTCTACAGTTACTATACCATGTGCTGTGTGTTTTCAATTATTTCTCAGATATCTGTTAGCATGTTTAGAATTTTATTTAGGCATACTTTAACTAATTTAAAGATCCTCTTACCCAAGATTTAACCAAGTCAGATCACAGTTTGGAGTTTGTACATGTCATGATTTATTACCTTTCTTAGGAGTCAGATAAAACCTAAATAACTTAGTTTTAATAAACTGACAGTAACAGTGAAATGACTCCAAGGAAGCTGCTCATTAAACAAGAGAATCCATATACAGCAGCACAGGCAGTGACAGCTTACTTGTATTTTTCAATGTTTTCTTTTCATTTTACTTCTGCACCTAACAGAGCTGAGGAGAAGTAGTTCTGATTTTACACACCCACCACCACGGGTCTTTTCCTTTCAACAGCTCATCTGCAATTTCTATTTGATTCTGCTATTATCACCACAGAAAGTTAATTGCATAGCAACACACATCTGACATCACTTATGTCAGTGGTTTGACCAGCACTACCTTTGCTTTGTCACTGGAAAAGCAAAGAACATGTTTTCTTTGCCTGAAAAACACCTATTCTTAATTGAAATGTATTTAATTTTACGGCAATATTAGCTGAATTCTCCATGATCCTGCTGCAGGAATCATCTCACGGGTTTCATGATGAGTTCTGCTTGGCACAGAATAAAACATCAGACCTGTGGCTGGGCATTCCTCAGCATTCTGCTATTTCCAAGCTGATCTGATCTGCTACATGGCTAAAAGCTCTTCTTTGTGACACTTTTCTGGATGGCAAGACAAGACAGCATCAGAACTGCTATCTCCCATCACTCTAGGGTATCAGGCTCCCTGACCTTGCAGTCACCTTGTTCACCCATCCCTCTCCCAGCATGTCACTCAGTGACCCTAGAACACACAGCAAAGCTCCTTTCCCCCAGCCCTTTGCTGGAGAGGGCAGAGCACTACTACCCAAGTAAAGACAAAAGGAGAAATAATACTCCACTCCAAAGGCTCTAGTGCTTTGCTACCTGCCCTCAGGAGCTAACCAGGCCAGCACCAAGGTCCCTGTGCTCACACAGACACACCACTGCTGTTGTTTGCAGGTTGCAGGCAGACCCAGCGGTTCACCACAGCAGTCACACTTCCTCTTAAGTGCTCCTGTGGGTAGCACTTGAAGCATAGTCTATTTGCATTCACCCATTAACTTAAAAGAGAAACTGCTGCCAGAATTATGCAGTTCACCAGCTAGCAAGGAGTACTGGAGTACATCGTGACAACAACCCCAGGGCTATCACAGTTCTTTGACAACACCACATTCTTAAGGGCACCTGTCAGGAGTTTGATAATTAAAGAGTAACAGCATAAGCAACGGAACAATGAGACATTTGTTATGTCACAATCGCAGGCCATTAGGGAAAATAAATAGTGGTTCCCCCAGATACTCAGGAAAACCATTACTTCATATAAAGTTATATTTTTGGAAAAATAAGTGTGCAACATATCTTCATGGGGATGCCTTAAAGTTACTAATAATTTACCATTTTCTCCCTATTTGCTGTGGATTTCTGCAGTATCTGAAAGTGTCCCAGACTCCCATGATCAGAAAGATTCAATAGGTTTACTTACGCATTAGGTTGTAAATGTGCTTTTCTGCAACATGTTCCGTAAACAGCTTTATAAGGTCATCTTTTAAGTCTCTGTTAAGCTTGGTTTCTATGTAAAATTTATTCTGGAAAATAAGACAGAAGTTTTCAAGTTTGTATCTCATAATAGCAAATAAATTTATTTTTTCCCCTGCATAAAAAGAGTTAAGAATTTTAAAGCTGTCAAATATTTCACCTGCAAAATGCTTCCTTACTGACTGTATTTATACATTATAGAACACTCCTGTACATCAAACCACCACTGGCTACAAACCTCCTTACATCCAGGCATACAATATTTATTTTGTTTTCTGTATCTGCAGCTGTATCTCCTTATCCATCCAGACTGGAGAATTTGTAGACAAAACACTTCATTTTAGAACTTTAATGAATTGTTAAACACCAGAATACAGCTGGACACCATGTTTGTAACAAAAGAAAATATTTTAACCAATGTTTAAAAGTGATTAAGCCTTCAAAACAGGTAGATTACAACAGTAAATCATCAATAGAACTATCAACTTCTGTGGTTCATTGACACTCTCAGACAACAACTACTCACAATCAGCTGTGGAAATAAGTGAGATACCCAAATCTATACAAAACTGAACTGCATAAATAATTTTAGGATTCCATTATCTTGACCCACTCAGCATTAATAATAAATTCAACTCTTTGAAGGAAATTCAAAGAAAATTCTACTCATGAGTTCCTTGAGAGATCCTATATCTGGTATAATATTTGGGTTTATTGCTCAGTTCGCAGCCTGAAATTTGCAGTGAGATTTCTTGTCTGTATTTTATTCATAACTGCGTTTTAAATGATAAGAAAAACTGGGAAAAAAAACTAGTTATTACAAGTTAAATCTGTTATCATTAAAATGCTATCTTGGAAGCAGAACAGCTGAATTCATCTGGATACTTGTGTAGAAGAGTTAAACAGATAATCTAATAGAAAATCAACTCAAAAATAGCAGAGAGGAACAGTTATCTGAGAGATTTACTAGAGGAAGGGATACCTTCAGGGAGAAAGGTTTTTCCACACTTTAAATCAAGTTGTTCTCCTATTCACTAAAGCATTTAACAAAATTGGAACAAACTCTCAGAACGCTATTAGAGCAATCTTTTACATTTTTGTGTGAAACCCATTACCAAAACCATACACACACCGTAACAAACTGTCTGTGAAGAAACCACTTAAATTTTCAAGGCAAGCATTCAGCAGCAGTTATTTACCTTCAATGAAAACTGGACCTGTACGAGCAAAGGCAATCTGAGGGCTGAACACGTGCCTCTATCACAGTTTAGGTTTGTTGCAGTGATGGACAACAACCTTAAAAGATGGTTTTTCTAACTCAGCAAACTTCCTGCTGCTGGTTCCCTCCCTCAAGCTATCCTACCTGTAGAGGTTTTATCAAGGGCTATTAGTCTGATGTTTCACCCTCACCTAGGCCTGTCCTTTGAACAGAGACTGAGGGAAAGGCTCTGCAGACAGAATAACCTGTCTCGTAGGAAACAAACCAATTTAATTTGTAATGTTTTGGGTCAATGGTGAATTGTCATTGCAACAGAAATCCACAGCAAAGATACACATGTTCTAGGAAGGGCTAAGCTACACATCTTTAACTAGATCTAACTCCGTGAACCATTTTCACCTTGAGGTTCCTGACCACGAACTACCATGGATCCACTGGTGCAACACAGGAGTGTCACACACAATGACGAACTACTGACTCCTGTAATCTGACAGAGGAGATGCACTCAGCTAAGGAAATCATTTACTCTGCTCCTTTCCCAGTCTCAAGACTTTCTGACACTAAAAGCAGGTGGCAACATGTGCAAACTCTGATGCTTCCTTCTATTAATAGAAAAAGGAACAACCACAAAATAAAGTAATCCAGCAGTTACAAGGCAGGACTTATACACAGAACAAATGTAAAATACTCTTTGAAATTACTCACTTGGAAACACTTTCCCAAAAAGATATTACACTTGTGTGAGTTTAAATAGACAATGAAAAATCATCTAACTTAAGTATTTCATTTACAATCCAAAGTGCTGAAACAAGACAGTAGAAGAGCAGTCACTTTCCCCATTCTTGTTGGTGGGAAAACAGAAGATTTTCTGCATAAGATGTCACACTCCCTAGGCTGTACCAGTGTCTTAAAAATATGTCAAGTCACCTAAAGGTCTAACAAGGGTAAAAGGGCAGCAGGTATCAATAACTGAGAAAGTCAGGTATGATACACAAAACACTCTATCATAAAGCAACCTGGCAAGTCTGAAAAGATATAACTCCGTTAATGTTATTAAGAGGAGATCAGGAAAAACTTTAAAGAGAAAAACCAGCTTATCATCTCATCCACATACACTTGTGTATACACACACAAAATGCCCTCTAGCTGATAAGCAACAAAGTGCAATATCATCCAGTAAGAATAATAATATTTTAGAGGCAATGAAAAAATTCTTAACTATCCTAAAACCACAGTGCTCACAAACATTAGGCTCATATACTGCAACAAGATAACAAATTTTCAGCTACATCTCTAAGTAATATTAACAATGGAGAATCTGTTAGAAAAAATATATGATCTGAATGCTGATTTTAATTTCTATTGAAGTGGAAATATAACTTTAATCCATTCATGTGTGCAGCATACTGTGATATGTACAACCTGTAAGCATCCAGAATAACCTCATTTAACTCACAAAGCAAACAGCTATTCACCAGGAATAAAGCTCTGTGCACTAAACTGACTTCAAGTTTAATTTACTTTGTCTTCAGTTATATCCCAGAACTTTTGAAGGAGCTTAAACCCACAGAGCCTTAGAGGGACAGAAGTGCTTCTAGTCAGTGCTTTTCTGAGAGGTCTGATGTAGCAGCAGAAGACTGAAAAAAATCCATCACCACATGAAAAAAGAAAACCACTAGTGCTCCTAGCAAAAGAAGGATAAAAAACCCTCCCTGAATTGCAAAGTCAGCCCTCACTCAAGGTAAGCTCTGAAACACACCTTGGTCACCATATACAACCAGGTTAACCTTTCCTGTAGTAGAACCATTCACATGAATCAGGAAAGAAAAGTGTTGATGCTGCTATCAAAACACACAGGACTAACCTAAGACACAATACTATGTCTTTTTTCTGACCACCAAGAGACAAGCACATGTTCCAGTTCTACAAAAAAGCTTTAGGTTTTCCTCAGCTTCAGGTATTTCAAAATATTTAAATGCATATTAAACATTCTCCTAAGCAGCAATATAATTACCCTCTCAGAACAAAGTTCTGATGTGTAACTCAACAGCCTTGGAAACTCCTGATTAAAGCAATCACAGAAACGGAAAGCCCTGTCACCTCTGATAAAGAGGCAGAGTTCAACAACTTAGTCCTCTCCACATCAAAATACACTGAAAGTACCTCTTAAAGTAACTGCAAAACTGTAATTTATACCATAGAGTAATTAGACTTTCACCTCTTGCAACTGCCTTTTTATTGTATATTTTTGTGTAAATAGAGGAAACTGCTGCTGCGAGAGAGAAAACTTGATTAGACACGTCAATGTAAAATTGCAAGAGTACCTGTACTTAAAAGTACTTCCAAATGCATACAGAAAAAACTAAGAGAGAAACATTTTTCATCTTGACTTCTCTAGAGATATTTTCCACATGCACAACACTGATGAATAAATTATTTCAGTGTGAAAATATGAAACTTAATTTGACATTAACCTTAGAAGACAGCTATACAGCTGAGCCAAACCAGCACTGCACTTGGCAGCAAGAGGAATTAAGAGGTAAGTCATAACTCTAATTCAAGGGGGTTTATAAGAAAGATGGGGACAGGTTTTTTAGCAGGGAACATAGTGATAGGACAAGGAGTAATGATTTTAAACTGAAATAGGGTAGATCTAACCTAGATACAAGGAAGACTTTTTTTACAACGAGGGTTTAACACTGGCACAGGTTGCTCAGAGAGGTGGTGGATGCCTCATCCCTGGGAACATACAAGGTCATAATTACTCTTGATCTAGTGGAATGTGTCCTTGCTCACTGCAGGGAGGCTGAACTAGATAATCTTTAAAGGTCACTTGCAATCCAAACTATTCTATGATAACTCCGAGGTCTAAATTGAATTAAGTCACTTAAATGAGAAAGTGTTTCCAGGAACAGTTTTACAGCCTGAACAAATCACTAGTCAGGCTTCAAGAAAGCTTTTCCTTTAAAACAACAGGGCACTTTCACTTTTCTTTGACCTCAAATTAAAAAGAAAGTTACTGTCTAACCATTTTACAGGTCTGTTTATTACTCATTAATAATTTTTACTATGTTCAGGTACCAGACTCAAACTCTAAAATGAAGAAACAATGGGATACAGAGCACTTCTCAGCTGAAAATATAAACACCACATCACAACTATTTGACAATTATACCTTGTCTGGTCACATAGAAAAAGCCTGTAATGGTAAAACCTGTCTGTTTCTATGTATACCATGAACATTTTTTCAATGTTAGTTACTCAATTATCAAGGACAGATTTTAGACCTCTGTGCTTGAAGAACCTCAGTGACAGAAATGAGCATTTAATATAGCACACACCTGAGCAGCTTATCTCCATCTGTAAAAGGACATTAAATTATAAGATCACTTATAACTGCCTGCAGTAAACAAGTTAAAGCACATAGAGCTGAAAAAATGAGCAGTATCTAAATATGTCTGAATGCAATAGCGGGGGGGGAAAAAAAGTCTCCTGGTTTTGCACAGCATTTCACAACAGGAAGCAGGAGAAAAATTGAAAAATCATCACAGGTACGCATCCCTTAACTTACAAGTGAAGCTGTAGCAACTGAATTTCATTCTCTATTTACTAGACAAAAGAGCAGATTAGAAGATCCCCACTTCAAGGAGGCTAATTCCTCTTTTAATGAAACAAATCTGTATGGTAACACTATGTACAAAGACTGCAGCAAGTTACCTAAACTCACTGAAACCTACAAGATCCTTCTACAAAATACTGCTTCCCAAACTCTGTGAAGTTACCGCGTTTATTTCATCATTTTAAATATTTTTTCTTTCAAAAATTTTTTTCCCAACAAGTATCTCCCCGTTTTTTATTTCTAAGGGATGTTAACACAAGGACAGTTTCTTGGAGAAGGACAAATTTCAAGCTTAAGTTACCCATTACCACAAAACAAAGCAATAAAAGGTTTTGTCACTTTGACACGAAGCATGCAAATTATAAACTTCTTCAGAGGTACAGAAGACTTCATAAATTACAAAAATCAACATGATAAACACTTATAGCCAACGGTTTCTGAACCTCTCCAGGTATGACTAACAGTGCTATGAACGTTTGTCTTCATCCACCCAACACTGTAAACTGTTTTATCAAATGACACAGACATTCCCATGACACTTTTCTTCCTGTCTTGTCTGAATCTGTGCAATTTAAAAGCAAGAAATAACCATCTCCATAACCCACCCAAACTAAGAAGCCAAGGAAGAAGAAGCTAATAAATGATCCCTGTTCAAACAGTAAATAATGAACTATTTGGTATGGGTTTCTTTCAGTCAAAATAAAAACCATTCTCCCACTCCCAGGAAAGAAGTATCAGGGCAGAAATCAACAGCAAACCTCTAAATTTTAAATGCATGGCTTCCCCTTCCTCTTTCCATACAACTTGATCAGTGCTGTTAGGCAGGCAGCAAAAACCAGGCATGGAATCACAGATTTTAAATGTTAAAAATCATTATATCTGCATTTTACCCTTTTCACTTTCAGTCAGCATCTTGTGTACGGACATAGTTATTTGAAAAAAATTTTCTAAGACTTACCATATATATGAAAAGAGGCACAATGCTCTGCAATGCTCCCATATACTGTCCAAGAGCTACGTTAAATCTTTCAATATAGAGATCTGGAGGGCTGGCCTGCAAGGAACCATAAAAGTCAGGTTGTAATTTGAACAAGAGAAAGATCTGGAACAGCATGGGCTATGCTTTCATAGCAGACTCAAGCAACTACAAAGGATTTGATACACTAAGTCCACACAAAGCAAGCCACACATCATTCCAAAGTTTCTGCTCTAACTCCCTCCAGCAAAACGATTTTCCTTCAGTAACTAGTTTTGGCCCAGGGCTATAGGTCAGTGCCCAGCACAAGGTCGATTCAATGAGACAGAGTATGCCTGTAACAAATGAGCATTTAGCATATGCAAATAAAAACACTCTATTAAAGACCAGACCTTCATTTTGAAAGTACTACCTGTCATGCCTCGAACTCATAACCAAATCTGAACAAGTGCTGCGGTGTGTGCTCCAAGCCCCCCACAAGCCTTGACTCCACCACAGCAGGGTGGCATTAAGGTGCTGCTTTGCAGCTGAGCTGGCAAGTGGCACAACCCCCAGCTCCAAGGAGCACTGTCCTCCACAGAAAACACAGTTCTTGCTGGGTCACCTAAGGCAAGGCAAGAATTCAGAGCTGGAGTGACATCAGATAGAGCTCTGCATCCAGAGTCCTGAGCTCCAGATCAGGCCTACAAATATCACCTGCAGTGCTCCAACATTACCCTATAGTCCCAAGCAAAACTTTGTGACACAAAACCTGAATGTCCCAATCTTATGACAGGTCTTGTAAAGCACTGCTATTTTCTGGGTACAATATCCTACTTCCCAAAGAAGGAAATAAGGAAGCTAAAAAGATCTGTTCTGCAGCAGGTTAAGTTAAATTGAGAAGAGAACCAGAAAAATGGGAAGCACTAACCACACCACTGTTTCTGTTATGATATTTATTTGGAGGGATGCAAGGGAGATAGATGTTGGAACATTCAGAAGTGCACTCACACACCCACAGGTGGAAGTGGAGTTGGGGTAAAGTGCTCCTCCACTACCCACTTCTCCATCCCAACCCACCCACGTACACTGCTCTGCCTCTGAGAAACACTCAAGGCTTAGCTGCACTTCAAGCACCTTATCAGAACCTAGAGCTGTTTTCACAAAGTAGATTATTCAGCCTTTATATGAACATTCACCAGGGGCCCTAAGAGAACAGTTAAATTTTATGGTGATATTTTGCTCTATTAAGTATTCTCAATCTATGGAAGGGTTTTTTCCTTTAAACTTGCTTGCCTCCCTCCTTAATATGCTTAATGAACACGAGGGTAATTTTCACAGCAGGCACCAATACAGAGCAGACAGTTCAGAAAGGAAAGCAAAACTGGCAAAGGAATAAAGAGTGTTATTCCATATGCAGTTGCCAAAGGTTATATATGGTTATTCCTTATTTTGATCATAAGTTTTTAATCTTATAGCAGATGCAGTTCTCAGGGGTGGCCAAACAAATTTTAGCTCAAAATGCCAACAATGTATAAAAGTAGCTATAAGCTCCAAGGACTCCCTTTCACATATAGTTACATATATAATTTGTTGCAAATAACATGCAGTGAAATTTGCATTTCTAAGCAGTATGTATTCCTGCTTCACTCCTTTTCAACCTCAGCTTTTAATATGGTTATACTCTCTGATTTGTAAGGACTTGGTATACAGCTTCTAAGAGTAAAGAAAAAGGAAAATTCTGCTTCAAAGAACACATCAGACAAAGAGAGACCATAGCCTGACACAGGGCAAACACTATTCTCTCACTGGCATTAAAAAATGTCATTAAAAAAACCAAACAAAAAAATGCAACAAGAAAAAAGCAGAGCCAGAAGCTGTCTGGGCAGTGTGCAATTTAATCCCATGAACAGACTCTAGGCAGTGGACACAGCCAGTCTGACACTCATTTTACAGGGGACATTAAGGATTCATCTCTTTTTCCTCCACTGCTGATGAAAACTCGGCAGGCTCACCTCACACAGCCCATGTCACTGTAAGAGATTCATGAGGCAACAACAACTGCACACACAGTTGTCTCCTGAGAACAACTTCAAGAGTACTTTAATGGAAGGATACCTGGAAGCTGTTAACCACCACCACTGCCTGGCAACCAAGTGGAAAACAGCTGCTCTAGATAGAGACAAGAAAGCTAAGAAAGGTCCTGACAGCTTCAGGGGAAGCATTCACTAGTGTCAGGCAAATATCAGGTCTTGGTTTTAACCTCTGCAATGCAGAAATTAGTGTTAACTGCTTTTCAGCATGAAATGTCACCTTTCAGTTTTAGTTGCCTTATAAGCTTGACAGTCAAATTTTCCTCAACTATCCCTTGTCTTGTAAACTACCAAAATACCCAGGCCAAAGAGAAATCAATAATAGCATTTTCACAGCTCATCTATGAATTATCATAATCTGTGTGGGGAAAACAGAACCATCTGTTTTCTGTTCATCACAGTGTTAGTGCATGGCTGTTCCAAACTGCTAGACTGAAATCAATTACTTGTTTGAGCACAGGAACTCTCTCCACTAACATTTATAAGACAGTAACTGGAGCAGGACTAGCTTTATATAAACTACTTCAATTTTATGAACTGAAAAGCAGTGCATGGCACCAAATTCATGAGTAAACAGAAGCTGCTATGATATTTTTTATTAAACAGCCATCATTAGAGTACAACTTGCATTTAAAATCTATACTTACTATAGCTATTACAAAAAAAAAAGAAAAACAAAAGAAAAAGAAAATGCTTAGGCTGACACTTTTCAATCCTGGACCTAGCCCAGAAAAAGAGAACATGTACATTCAGCTGTTTTCATAATGGGGGGAAGGGCAGAATTAAGCATGACATTTATTTCTTACAACTCCCCAGCAACTATTAAGTCTTTAAATCCACTCCTATCTTACCTGAGGGATGTACTACAGAAGCTATACAAAGAAAGTAAAAATACACACTGCTAGCCTAAGGTTTTCCAGGAAGGAAGAGGATCCCTTGTTCCTTCAATCCCCATTCTGAATTCTGCCCAACTGACAACTCAGGGGTTTGGGGTGGGTTTGTTGCTTTGTGGTGTGTTTGTGTGGCGTTTTTTCAGACACTCCATACAGGGAGACAGCTTAAATCCTCTCCTACATTTGCTCTCATCTACCACTCACAGAGTTAAGAACAGTTTTCCAGTAACAACTGCACAGACTACATGTCCCAACTGATTACTGGGTTGGGTTTCTCAAATTGTGATGCGGTTGCATTTGCTTAACATCTTCAGCTTGGCTGTGAGTTGACTACTTCTTAGAATAAAATACTATGGCTACTGTTTAAAACCTGATGATTAAACACTGCTTAATCTCCTTATACATCACAGTGGACATCTGAGCACCAAGAGGAATGAGAAGTAACAAGAATACACATTTGAGAAAGGGTGACATGCAAGACAGACATAGCCAAACAAAACAAGCAACTGGAGATCCTGTATACTAAAATTACCCTTCCCTTACTTAAAATCTAGTGTCTAGGCATTGCAATGAACCTGTGGGCGAACAACTGTACACATGAAAAAGATGGGGTTTTTATCAGCTTGAAAACCAGTTTGAGTATCACTCTTTAACTGAACATATGAATTAAATCAGGTGACATGCTGCTGGCTCAAAACAACTCAAATAGCTCACAAGAAAGAAACAGAAACAATAGTTCTGTGCTTGAGGAACACAGTTAATCTGTTTATGAATAGTCATCTGGCACAATCAGCACTGTATTCAGTAAAGTTTACATTCCTATGGTGAATGGGCAGTTCCATTTTCCTGGGAACATGCTCACTGCCAAAGTACCAGCACATATACTGCAGCATCTCTCCCACGCCTGCCAAGTGAAAAGGGAGAATGGCTACGACTACACAAATTAACCTGTTATTCATGTAAGTGGTCTGAATCTTCTAATACAGTCTTTGTTCTTCCTCAAGAAAATGTAATTTGTTTACCTTGCCTTGCAATGTATGTGATGTCCAGGTCTACCTCACTAGACACAGGTATTATTAAAACTTCTAACAAAAATACAGACATCAAACCAAAGCACAATTCATTCAAAGGCTGAGTGTGTCTTCCTAGTCAAGTCACTCAAACCTGTTCAAAGCTGTACAGCATTGTGACATACCCTCACACATCTGTCTTAGAGCAGGTTAGCAAATGCAGGCCATGATTCCATTTCCATTCTGCTTGTGAATCAAAAAGACATTGTATCTAAGGGCTATGGAAACCCTGCTTAGTCATAGGAAATCTTCACAAGCTTTTTCACCTGGTAAATACATATTAATTTGTGCTGCATTTACTTACATCTTTCTGTAATTGTATCAGGGTCTGCAGTCCCAGTGTAGTGTAGTAGGGAGCTAAACAGAACTGCAGGAATACAAAGCTTTTCAAAGAGCTGCAGGCAAGGATGATTTCTCAGGTTAAGCTTGCTCATGGCAATGTCATTTCTAATGGCAATTCTGGCAATATGGGGGCACCTACATCTACTTCAAGTCAAAAGCCATTCTTTGTGATGTCCACACATGAAGATACAAACATTTCTAACACTTCTGGTTTCTGCCATCTGCATTCAAATCATCCATTTGATCTGATTCAGTTCAGTGTGATTCACAGCAGCAAAGGCTTGTTTCACACAAACACAATTAAGCAATGTTCTCCCACAAAAACTGACAGATAAAAGCCTACAGCTGTGGATGTTTGGGTTTGGTTTCTTTACCCTTTTAAATATTACTGATCAGAGAGATGCCCAGTTTGAGTCTCCTCACTGGAGCTCCCAGGAACTAGTGCTGTCTAATCAGTACTAACAGCCTTAGAAACTCATTTTTCTTGCCTGGATAACAACCCAAGTGGAACATCACTTTTGTTACCAAACTTTCAAAGCAAGGTACCAACCCAAATTGCAGCCAGGACGGAAAATTGCTGTGACTGAAGCCAACTCTCTTGTGACTAAAACAAGCAGAGGTCCTGCGTAAGAACCTTTGAGCTCTCCAGGACCACTGTGGGCTGCAACCAGCAACCTCCCTCAGAGTGGGGCCTCTCAGAGCCAGCAAACACTCATGCTTACTACACTTGGAACAACAACAGTGGAGCCTGGGCTGATACTCCCAAGCCTCAAGGCTTCAGCCATTGAGAAGATGCAAAGGTATCCAACATGAGTACTTCACTGAACTTCAGGGGAATTTTTCACAGGTATATTCATTGTAGAGACTGCTTTAGGTCTTTGTGTGTGTACAGGTGTGAATATGTGTAGCAGATGTACTGTGACTGTTCCTCTCCAAAGTACCTTAGATTCATAAGTAAGACACAGGCCTGTAAATGAGTTACTGTTGTACTTACTGTAAATTCTACAGAATCTTTTGTTAAATTGTTTAAATTAGGCTACTGATTAAGTGCTGTTAAGTTTAAATGCTGCCCAAGGCTAAGTTTGGCAAGGGGATCCATTCTGAACCTTGTGACTCCATGGGAGGGTCTCCCTTATTCCTTTTTATCCTTACCATTCCCTATTCTTCACCTTTTCCTATCCCCAGCCTCCATGTAGATCATTTTTGCTTGATTTTGAATGATATTAGTCCCATTTTTCTGTGTGCTTTAACCATCTAAAACTAGTAGAGTGAACCTTGCCAATGAACTCTGTTGTGTTTTCATTTTTATATTAAACCTGCTTTTGCTGATACCTTTTCCCAGTGATCCTTTGAGCACCCTGAAACATTCATTGATATCTAACCCCAGTGCACATTGTCCCAAGGAAACAATAGGTGAGACAGTATTTTCATACACTGCACCAACTGGTCTGAGAGATTACAAGACAGAAGGCTGAGAAGTTGTAAGGATTAATATCAGGCAGGAAAACTTTCTGCATTGCATAACAAAGACTCTAAATGTGCAGGTCCTGGGGGCCAAATGGCAGACATGCAAATTACCTCCCAACACCAGTGACTCCTCAGTGCAGTTATGTTCATGCTAAAAAAAAATACAGTTCAGAATGATAAAAAACCCCACGACATACAGAAAACAATAGATCCCCTTTTCTCTTTTCTCTATGGGTGCAGCATGACAAATAACTGGTTTTAAGCTCTCAGCCATTTTGTAAAGGAAGTGCTGAGATTATTCTAAGTAAAATGAGAATATTCCACTGCACTTGCACAGAAAAGCTCCTTCTGTAATGGGCCAGCTCAATGCCACAGTGCATTCTGATTGTCAATCAATCAAGTATGTTCCAGTGTCTTTTGCTGAAGAGATTATGTAATGGGTAGAGAACTTGATTTTAAATTACTTTATCAGAGTTTTTAAGAATAAATTAAGCCAGAAACACTAGTGCCTAATGCAAATGCAGTTTTATTCATTTGATAGAGTATTTAATTTGAAAGTACATGCTTGTGTATCCACCCTGCCTCATACACCTGAGTGACTCAGCACTCACCCACAAAAGCAGCTGACATTATTTTAAACCACAACATAACCTGCTATGTCCCATTACCAATAAAATGTTTCCAAATAAAGCATCTTAGAAAAATCATCTGTATACTACAGGCCTCAAAGACCTCAAGACAACAGGAAACAAGTTAATTTGTGTTTTCTGCAGCCACATGTTTACTTTTTTTAAGCAGACAAAAATCCAAAATTCTGATCAACTCGGGAATTAGGGAAATTTAATTCTCAATTACTGAAAGCTCCACATGGCAAAAGTCAGTCTTAACTAATGCAGAGAAGCTGGTCAGACATCGAGTGCAGGAAAGGAAAGCAATCCTTGCTCAGAGACGCCCCCATAACAGTCTGAAGAGAGGAGCATTTACTTACAGACACAGTAACGAGGGAGCTAGAAATGTCTTGGGATACAGTAGGCCCCATATCAAACAGCTGATAACAGACAATTCATCTCATCTAAATGTACTAATACTCAGCAGGCAACACCCACTGCTTTTCATCCAAAGTCTAACATGCAGAGAATACACCAGCCCATCCACATTTTGTATCACCTCTGCCACCACTGAAAATTAACCTTTTTGAGGTGCAAATCTGTGACTCAGATGTTGAGGAATGCACATGGCCAAACATCAACACCACACAGGGTGTCCTGCAGCATGGAAAAGCAGAAGTCACACAGAGGATGGCCAGGGAGTGTGTGTGTGCCCCAGTGTGACCATGGGGCCAAAGCACAGTGCCTGGGACACCCAGCTCAGGACACTCGAGTGCCCATCACTCTGCTGACTTCAGCTGAGGCAGCTGGTCAGGCAAGCTGAGTGCTACATACACACAGAGTGGGGGGAATAAATACATCTCTAGGGAGTTTGGGCAGTGAATGCCCTGAAGAGAGAAGCCAAACTCCAATAAGGACTGATCCATGCAAGAGCAAGTCTGATCAGACCCCTGAGATGCTCCCACTTTTACTGTTTGGTATCTTGAGTTTTACAGCTTTTGCTGTTGATGAGTGGCTCCTGTAGGAAACAGCCTGCTCTGGCATGTTGGCTACATGCAGATATTCTGCAACCCACTTGCCACTGAACTGTTACACTTCTGCACAGAGAAGTTGCTTGGCTTGTCCAGAGTAAGACATTTATTTGCCTGCCATTTCAGATTTCATGATCATGTTTTCTCACACAAACCAACATGCCTGCTTATACTGGGCTACATTTGCATCTCTGCATGCAAAAAACAAAAAAAAACCCAAAATTTTCCTGCATCAAGTCACACCTTGCCAATTAAACAGAACTCTGCAATTCGTTTAAATATTGTTGACAGGTGGAACGAATTTATGTCAGAGAAACCAAAACACCACATATTGTGCATTAAAAGGATTCACACATACAGGGTTTTTTATTGTCTGCCTGGGTGAACCAGAAACTTCCATGCAACCAGCATTTACAGGGTAATTTGTTACTGTTGCTAGGGTAAAGATCTAGAACTGAATTTTCAACATAAATCCAGAGCGACTGAATGTCACCAAAATGTATTAAGATCAAAGAAACATCAGGAAGTAGTAAAGAAATTCCTTAAGAGAAAATTTCACAACCCACAGTTAAAACAGTTTCTTTACAGAACAATTTTCTGAGGCACAAGAGTTTTACTTCAAGCAGCTCGAAAAGATCCATTTATCATCCAAAAGCAAAGTCATGTTCACGTCAGACAGAACTCACGTAATTCACTCCAAGACGGTATCGTGGTATATTACAGGTGTGTCTAACCTACGTAAGGAAACTTTTGCAAGACAAAGATTGCATGAAACAGTTGTCTCAATTATTCTTTCAACAAGCTGAGGTTCAGAAAGCGGCCTTGTTTGTAGGCAGAAGCATTTAATGCTCATGTGTGCTAAAGCAAACTTGAAAAATCAGCTGCCTCAGTTTTGGAACTTTAGAGGAAACAATGAAGGACTACCACAGAGTAAAGAATTTGGGGTATTCCCAAATTCAAAGCAAAGCAATGCAGTATACTACCAGGGAATGTATCAGAAGAACTGGCCAAACCTGTGTAACTGCAATGAAACACAGTTCTCACAAGCAGAAGAAAAATGTACAGGCTGCACCAGCTCAGCAGAACTCAGGGAAGATTTTATTTTAAATATTACGTTCATCCCCTCTAACCAATTTTTACAGAACAGTGAGCCTGTTGTTCCATGAGGAATAAGGGGAACATAGAAGAGGAAAGAAGAAAGAACCTAGCTCAACATATTTCACAGTCAAAGACCATGCCTAGTAAATGCTGGGTGGCTATTTTTCTTCCTAAGGAAAGCAACCACAGGAAAAGAGAGAAACCAAAAGGACATCAGAGAGATCACAGTGCTATATATTTTCATGGGAATGCACACTCAGCCAGAAGCACCTGATGCAGGTAAAAGCAGTCAGACTGCTTTTGACAGACAGAAATCAGTTATCAATGTGGTAGAAGCACTGCAGGAGCTGCTGTAGTTCAGGGTTCCTTTGTATTTGGTATCTGCTTCATGCATTGCAAGACAGTACAGAACTCAAACATCAGTTATGGAAGTGACAAAAGCTATAGGGGAAAATCAAACACTGCTGCTACAGCAATGTCAATTTCAAGTACATATCTGGAGATTCCAGCCTAACAGAAATGTTCAACAAGGAACACACATGAAAACAATCACAGATGCACAAATAAGATACAGAGAAGGACAGGAATACACAAACTGTATTAGGACTGCTGTAAACCACTGACATCTAGAGATAGGCAAGAAAAATGCAGAATAAACTGCAACACAAAACTTCATATGCAATAATTCGTGATTTATACTTCATGTTTAATTCACTTAATTTTTTTCCCTTTAGCTTTTCCCTTTAGTGCTGCTTGTGGTACACAAGAACCACAAACAGTTTCTAGAGATTTACACAGCAATGGTAGACATTCAGGTCTCAGGTCACATTTGGCTGAAGTACTAACATCCCAGATTATACTGTAGATTTCCCATTCTCTACTCTTTGATTCTATATCATATATTCAGGTTTAGTCACTGCCCTCCATAGGGATAAGATCTCTAAGGCTAGACAGTGCCATGCAAGTGGATCTAGTAGCTGGAATTCTGACAGCCTGTCAGTGAACGCAGTAGTCAACAATATAGTAAGATAGTGTAAATCAGTCTTAATGGCAATCCCCTCCACAGGCCATCTACACATCCCAGGAAAGACAGAATTAGATTGTGCAGCTTCTTACCTGCAGCTCCTTTGAGACTCTCTCTAAGTGGTTAGTTATCTTTTTTATTAGGTCACTATACATCTGTTCCGAATGCTGCTGGCATACACACTTATACACACAACTGCAGAAACAAATATAGGAACAAACAATGAACTTACAACAGTTTGCAATGAAGGGTAACAGACTTCAAAATACTTGGTTCAAGTTTCAATTTAGAGGGTAATAGAGTTAATTGAATGACTGCTGAAGTTAAATACAGTCCTAAGCTTGGAATGAGCTCTAGCAGACTACTGTGTCTCCCCTGGAGGCCCCAGGGTGTCCATCCCATTTGCCTCCCCACCTTCATTTTAACTTACAATGAGTTCTCCTAACAGTGCACTTCAAAACAGCCAGGACAATTCTGTCATCAGCACACTCCTAATTCCGGCTTTTGTCTTTCCTGTGTGAATGGAGACTTCACGAAAATAAGCAGGTTTAACGATTATATGACTATTCTAGAGCAAACCCCTTACTAAAAGAAGGCAGATGCTGATAAGCATTCACAGAAGTTGCATCAAAACCATGGTAGGTTTAAAAAGACATGGCAAAAGTTTTAAAATTACAGACCCAAGCATGTTACTCCATTCTTTGTTACTTAAATTTCAAGAAAACCCCACAATTTCATAACAAAGAAAGATGCAGAAAAAGAGCAACAAAATGTGAATTACACATTCCATGGCTTGGCTGCATTAGCTCTGGTTTTCAGTGTTATCTTTGTTTCCTAAGAACATTTTATTGCTCTCATAAGGCAATATAACATCTGCAAAATAAGGCTGTTTATCAAAAACATGTTTACAACAGTTGTAAAAGAAATACATGTATTACTTTCAGCAAGAAGTTATGAGGTAGTCATCACTGTCAGGAGTAACACCAACATTAATCTGTACCAAGCAGACTTTACTTCTCCAGGGCTTTCATTCTCTGAAATCAGCATTTTGAAATCCAGCTGCCAGAACTCAAGAGGCATGGGAAGACTTCACCTGGTATCTTGGAAAGTCACATTACCTCTGTTCTGCTACTCTCTCCATTCCTCTGTACGAAGTACTCTGACAGCAATTTAGGCCAGAGACTGCTCCTACGGACATGTGCAAACAACCTATTTCCAGTCAGCTCCAGATCCCAAACTTGAATTCTGGCAGGTTTTTAATGGCATCAAAAGCCTAAAGCTATGGGACAGCAACACTGTCTCTGTAGGGGAACTAGTACTTCACTATTCTCTACTGAGAAGGTGGTACAAACACAGGCAAACCACAAAAATGGCATTAAAACAACTGCAGACTATGAGCTATTGGAATTTTCTAATGCACATGACAGCTTAGGCAGCAATTTCAAGCCTTCAGGGGCCAAGACTGCTCTCAGTCAATAACTGCCACTCTCAAAGTCTTCTGGATGAAGGTTTTACAAGTGAATTATCAGTGACTTTTAGAGGTCTGTATTTATTCCCTTTGAAAACTTGAAATGACCCCAAAACAAAGTGTTCATCCCTATACAAAGTCTGCTCATTTGGGGAACCAAAAGACACCCACCTCCCACCTCTGTTATATTTTAAGCATAACTGAGTACCTGTAGTTTGATAATATTTAAATAATAAAAAAGTGGGGGTTTTTTCCACATGAAATCTATCAACAGCAGATCCTATTTTGGAACAAGCAAGTCCAAGAGACATTTCGGTATGATGCTCTTTGGTAAGAGCAAAAATATCAGTTTAATTTGGACAAAAAGAGGGAAACTCTGATAAGAAAAGTGAGACTGATTTTTGTGATCTCTTAAAAATCAGCCAGCTAGGAAATCATAGCAAATGGCCATACATTTGTTTGCTCCATAACTAACCAGTCCACAGCCACTTCCACAATTTGTCTGCTTCACCTGCATGTAACTAAACTGAATTTTAAAGTACAGTTATGCTTAGTGTTACATACACTATTGCTACATCTGCTTCTGCAACATGTTCTGTAGTCAAACACCAGTGTTCATATGTACGTGCAGGGAGTGTTTACATTTTATTTAGCACTTCTATTTAGAGGTTCCTTCCCCATTTTAAGATCCTGTTTTCAGTTCCTGATTGTGGGCTGATTCTGTGAATCATCCTTGCCCTGCTACTTACCACAAGAACTCACCACCTCGTTAGCTCTTCAGCATAACCAAACACCTTAGGAAAAGGATGACTCAAGAAAGACATTAGAAGGTAAAGCATTAGGCGAGAGGGATGAATATCTGAGACCTCTAAGTTGTCTTGAGGAACAGAAAACTAACAGCACTGCACCTGGGAGGCAGTGGAATTTGCCAGAAGTACAATTTAGCTGTTCAGGTTTTCCTTATCTCAAACTTTTCTTCACATCTCTCTGCCAATGCATTTAAAACTTTTATGATAGGAAGTGACTATGCCCAGGAAGGCTTTGGGCTCAGAGTTGGCAACAGTCAGCCATGATAATTCACAGGTAAACTGCTGTGTAGGAAGTATCTGCACACACATCTTGGAAGCTATCTCCTAGCTTTCACTGCTGGGGAGGAGACACCTGCAGTTATCACTGATCGTGTCAAATACAGTAGTTTGAGTATGTAATAATGTATTTTGAGATTGCACTATGGAAAACTTCTTTCCTTTAGTCGGCACAAAGATGAACAAAAACCCCACTGTATTTTCACCTCAGTTTCATTGTAAAAAAAATAAGAACCACTTTTAGAAACAACCACATTTTTCATACTAAAGAACCAGCCTAGGGAAGCAGAGAGGATCTAAACTCAAAGTCTGCTACATACTCTCAGTAATACTCCAAGCAAATATACTTATTAAATTCAATTTTAAAAAAATCACTTTTCCTACCCTTCTCAATCGATCCTGTCTAGATTGTCAGTCAAGCAAAGGAACTGTACAAAAGTTTTATATTTTGTTTTAAAATTCAATCTCCTGGCTGGAAGAGGCTGTGTCAGATTAATTACAACCACAGACATCATTTTTAAAAGAAAACTGACACTCTAGATGTACCAGTAACACTAAACTACAGAAAATCCTTTGTTTTGGTAATAATAAAATACATGTGCTAGACATCTGTGCATCATTACATCACTGCAACAGGTGTCCCAGATGTATAAAGGACAAACTCAAAACCCATCATTCCTTCGGTAAATAAAACTTTTGAGTACAAAGGTGACAAGGATGAACTTCAGTTATCTGCAAGCCATAACCAGGTATAAGTCTACTCTAGGTATGAAACCATCAATTTTGCACATATACTGATGAGATGACTTTTGAGAAATGTTGGCTTAACTCTTTAATGAAGAGTTTGCACGTTGGGGATTTCAAGGTGGGAAAGGATTTTTATCACTTCCACTAAAACTGTCTCTCAATTCAAATTACCATCTCAATTATTTATACACTTGATGATATCTGAGTCGACTCCAAAAGTCTGGAAAGAGGTCATCTATTAAAGTTTTTAACTGAAATTAAGGGGGAATACTGAACATTTGCCTTTCTTTAATCTGGTTCCCTAACTGAAAGTCTCAAACTGCAGTGACGAAGTGGCTAAAAGCAAGAGGGTATGAGACAACAGAGCTGGAAGTCTCTAAAAACAGACATCAGTGACCAAGCTGGCAATGCTGCTCCATAGAGGGCAACACTGTGGCAGAGAAAACCATGACAGCAGTGCTACTAGTTGTGCTGCTGGCAAGGGCCAGTAAGTTTAACAGCATCTTGGCCAGTAAATGCAGCAGCAGTTACTCAGTTTCCATCTATTTACCAACACCCTGAATACCTGTTGCCTACTGAACAAAACCTCCATTTTAATTAATCTCTCAAGAAACTGCCAGGTCTCTGAAGCTTACAGCATTCTGGTTTGGAGCAACAGTGTGATTTGGAAGCAATTCCCCTACCAGCACCAGTACTGAGCACTAGCTTAGCCTGCAGAACAGTTCTGCTGTGTGAATAGATCCTTTTTAGAGAAAACTGCAGCTCCAGGCAGGTACAACTCAAACCTTCTCCAGACAAGAATGGAGATATGAAGGACCAAACCTTGTGTCAGTCCTTCAGACAGCTTTGAACTGCACCTTAACCCAGATGGCTGTGCAAGGGGAAAACAGACCAAATCTACCTGATGCAAAACACACAGGTGACAATTTACACGGATGGACCTTGGCACTAGCTGCTTCTATTTACTTCTGCACATCTACTGCACCAAAGTGGTTCCCATTAGCCATGATAAAGAAGCCTTTTGAAACATTTAGTCAGCTGCCTACCATGTCAGTCTCTTCTTCCTTTTTGAGGAAAGGGATGTTGAGTCTTTCATACATTTTTTAATACATTACACTAAGCAACTGTGGGAGAGCTTCCTTTAATGTTAGTGTTTTGGTATATATGTATTTTAATTCTTTAGCATTTATTCCTGTTAGCATGGGATGTCAAGATACGTATCTGCTAGTCACTCATTCCAATCACTTAAACAATACTGTACTTCACATAACCTTCCCACTTTCCTCCTCAAAGATATAAAATATGCATATGCTGCAAGATAAATCAAACATTTCACTTTAAAGCAGAAATAAAAAGTAACACAGCACTTAAAACACCTCCTTACCTGTATATTTGTTCATAGGAGATAGGGATGTAGTCACCAGGACTCTGAGTTAAAAGTTGATCTATGGCACTGTCCAACTTTGGCCAATATGTGCTCTTATAGTCTTCAATTGTTATAACATTCATTACTGCAACAAAAAACAACAAAACAAATTCAGTAACTTCACCAAGACCAGAACTAAGTGAATGCTCTGTGATGTCAGATCGTACCAATAAGCTGGCAAGAAAAAATGGGAACACTCACTTCCATCAAGATAACCTCATCTAAAACTGAAGCCCAGACTTGAATTTGTATCTATTTATAAAAAATAAAATCTGAAAATTTGCCAGAGTAGTGCTTGGATTTTTTTTGGGGGGGGCCAAGCAACAGGGAAAAACAAACTCCTGGGAGTTCTAGCATGAATATCTAGCAATAATTTAAAAAGACTAGTTCAGATTAATGAATCATGCAAGTTTGTGGCAGTACAGAATCAACAATTATCATGGGGTCCTCACATGCAGGAGGAACAAGCTTTGGCCAAGACTGGTAGTTTGTTCAATACCCCTTCCCAGCAGATGTATTAATTTCACAAGTCTCAGGTAGCACCAGCAGCTTACTTGCTCTAAAGGTTGATGCAATTCCCTCTGCCTTCAACTGCAGTTAGGCTCCCAGGCAACATTTTTGAATCCTTATTACAGTTCCCCTCTAGCAGAGACAATAATGTTCCTTTTCCAGATAGGAATCAACACAGGGAAGAATAGGAAGCATTTAAATTAGCATTCCCCATTGCTCCCTGATTTTCCTCCTGATCTTCCCCTGCACCTCTTGCAGGAGTGACTCAGTGTGCGTTGATGGACACAGAAGAGTCTGAATCTCTCTCTTTTCAGGGAGGATTTCTGAACTAACCACACATGGCTCTGTTCCAACAGGTTAACACCTTCAGTTTGACTCGCAGGACTACTTTGCTGGCTTGTCACACCACCAGAGCTTCACAGCACCCACTCAAAACAAAGCCCTCAGCAATAACAACACAGGGTGTACCTCACAGCAAAACTATCCAGCCCAGGAAATCTAAAATAATTTCTTCATTTGAACCCCACATGTGGGTCTGGGCTATATGGTACAGAGAATAAAGATACTTCTCACCCCACACAAACCAGTTTAGACACCACACTGAAAAGAAATGTTTTGGTTAGGGCTGCATTTTAAAGATGTGTAAATGCAGATTCACTGCTGGGTTTGAGAAGCAAGATCTCTGAAACGGGGTTGAAAGATGCTGAGTATGTCACTTTTGGCAGCATTAGGAAGCACAATTCTAGGCAAATACAAGCAAACAGATAACAGTACCATGAGGGGGGAAAAAAGAGCATAAAGAGAACATGGAATAGAGAGAGACCAGACAAGTGTTTGAACACTATCTGTAAGAGCAAGTATTAGATTCCTGTTGTGTGTCTTCCTAAGGTATTTCAGCACAAACTTTGCTTAGAGATGAATGCTAGAGCAGCACATCCAGCCCTCTCTTCACACAACCAGCCACTGGTTCACTCTTGCTTCACTCCTGTTAAGAATCAGATCTAGCTAAACTAGTAAGTGTCTGAGCAGTGAACAGGTCACCACTACCAAGTGCTACAGGACAGTGTTCCAACTGCCCAGCCTGAAATCTGAAAGTACAACACAGCTAACAAGTTAATAAAGGCTACAGGTCTGGGTGCACAACTACCAGGATTTAACTTAAGTCCAGCAAGTCAGCTGCATGATGTAAAAGCATCCATGCAGGCAGGACCAGCAGAGCACCTGTCTGACAGTAAATTCATCCCTGACTCCTGTGTCTCACAATGAGTTCTCATCCCTTACAGAGCCCATGCTCCAGATGTTCTCAGGAGCAGCTTCCACATAGCAGTTTTACCATTCATGCTTACACTCAGCTGCAAAATTTGAGCTTCTGTTTTTCACTATGTTACCCCAAAACAGACAGGCCTCCACAGAAGCAATCTGTTCCACTGAAAACATGAAACTGAAGTCAGCATAAGCATTAGACCAAGTCTTGATTTAAGATTTCAATGTATAATCACACCCACACATGGTTTAACATATTAAATGAGTCCGATTAAATGGAAAGAAAACAGTCAAGTAAGAACTGAGAACACTGCAAAATAAGTTTTAACAGGCTGTTGAGTTCCAGTGTCTCCAATCTAAGGACGTGTAAGTGTTGGAACAAGTCCAGAGGAGGTCCACAAAGTTGCTAAGACTGGAGCACCTTTCCTATGCATACAGGCTGAGAGAGTTGGGGCTGTTCAGCCTGGAGAAGAGATGGTTGTGTGGAGACCGCACAGCAACCCTCCAGAATCTGAAGGGGCTCCAGAGAAGCTGGAGAGAGAATCTTTGTTAGGAACTGTAGTGACAGGACAAGGAATAATGGGTAATGAGAAGGGAAATTTAGATTGGAGATTAGGAAGCAGTTTTTCCCTGTGAGGGTGGTGAGACACTGGCCCAGGTTGCCCAGGGAGGCTGTGGCTGCCCCAACCCTGGCAGTGTTCACAGCCAGGTTGGATGAGCCTTGAGCAACCTGCTCTGGTGGGAGGTGTCCCTGCCCAGGGCAGGGGGCTGGGACTAGATGATCTGTAAGGTCCATTCCAACTCCTTAACATCCTATGATTCAAAAGTCTCTTACAAGTACTATGTAATTTCATTTCCACACTTCAGTTCTGAAACTAAGCCAACCATAACATTTACATACCTAAAAGTCCAAGACTACACACAGAACAATCACTATTTTCATTCTTTAAAATTTCAGTAACTGTCAAAAGTTAGCAACTTACTTTTTTTTCTGTCAGTGCTTACATACACAAAAAGTGAAGGATGACTTAAAGTAAGACACTCTAACTACAAACTCCACTCAAACAAGGTAGAGACCAGAGGGGAAGGGACCACACAGATCCCCAGCAAGGAAAGAGAGACTGCCCTTTTAGAAACTTCTTTCATTTTTTACTTCTCCATCTTTTCAGGATGTCATGCTTAAACGTTTATCCCTATGTTAAATAGTCAAGATTTAAAAGGATTTGCCCAAAAGCTTCCACTCCCAAATCGTGAGGAAATGGTGATACTAATAATTCCATTTCCTTGAAATTTATTTGGTTTCTGGGAAGTGACACTGATGTTTTGTTACAAAACATGCTAGAATTCATGATTTTATCCAAGTACAGCAAGTTTGGGGTGGGGCTGGGAGAAAAATCAGTCAGATAGAATGGAAAGGAAGAGGGTACTTTCCAGTGAATTAAAACAGAATTCACAAGTAAAGCTTGAGCAGCAACTGCTGCTTTTCCATATACACAAAAGTTCAAAAGAAAAACTGCTGAAGTCAAATGCAGCAGTGAAATCATTTTAGTGAAAAAGAATATGCATGAGCTTCCTATCACAACCTAGATAGATCAGGACCACAGCCATAACTGAAACACAGCCTGCTCCAAGCTAGCAAATTCTCTGATATCAACTTCAACGAAAAGAATGGCAAAACCCACTAACTTTACCAAAAACAAAGAAAAAAGCCAAAAGTAGGTATACAACCTCCATGAAACTGGTCATAAAAACCTACACATAGCTCAAGAGATGCTGGGACAGTAATGGCACAAGACATGAAGAACAGAATACTAATTTTAAAACAAAAAATCATTGACTTAGATGAGAGAAACTGGAAGACTACTCAATACACTTACTGTGTTCAGATAGAAAAATCTTCCTTCTTGTAAATCTAAAAAAGCAAGGGACAGAGCTAATCCTACCTACAGTCAAGTAAGCAGACACCAGTCTGACAATTATCTGCCATTTATTCTGACAACAAAAATGAAAGAAAGCAGCTAAGCATCTTTCAGAAGCTTTATTTCATGAAGTGACATACATAAAACTTTACTGCTTAGTCAGCAGTGCACCCTACAATCCTAAAATATTTTGTCAGAGTGTACAGACTCTTCAGGCAGATGCCTGAGACTAATCTACAGACTGTGACTCGGTGCCTTCCTTTTCCTCATCCCCCTCATGCACATGTTTACCCAACAGATTTTGCTATCTCCCCTGCCTGACATATCCCAACATACATTAGCAAGTTTATGGGTCTGCCCCGTGGTTGCTTTCATTTCTACTCTATTTTTATAACACATTTCTCAGCCTGCACTAAGACTGGTTAGTAAAAGTAATTTTTTCTTCATCAGACCATTTGCCTATGCAGCAAAGCACATACATTGCACTGAACAAGGTAATGCAACAGGAAAAGCAAAAGATTTAATGGATATGCCAATGTACACAGCCACATGTGCCTGTCTTCAGTGGGACATTTAGAACCACACTGGCTTGAAAAGGGTGAAAAAAACAAGAAGGAAACCCTTCATTTTTCTCACCACAACTGAGTTATGGTGCAATTACTACTGTGGAAGAGTTTTTCTTAAAGTATTAAAAGTTCTTGCTCTTCTTCCTCCCTCGTGGCCTTCGAAAAACACTTTTCACAACACTACTGCTTTACAAATCCACAACTGTGACCGAAGCTGATGAACTGCAAGTATGTACTTGTAAATTTACCGCAACACAGAAGATTTTCTTAAGGTGCTTTAAACTAGAAGAAAAGCTGTTAAGTGAACTTTGCATTATTCTATTTTAGCCCTGTTTCACCAAAATCTCAAGGAAGAAGTAATTTGGCCCCGTTAAGAGATATGAAGGATAATTTGTCCAACACAGACTCTGCATCATGAAGCAAGCAAGGCATGAGTCCCTGCTCAGTCAGCTGTAGAACATCCTCATGCAGCAGAGCACAGACAAGTTGCCTATCAAGCTGAAGGCTGACAATCAGCTCCTCTAGACATGTTCTGCCACTACTGAAGCAGAGCAGGCAGGAGGGGATCCAGCACACACAGTCTCCCCTTTCACTGTACATTTACATTCAAAGTGACCTTTCTCCCTTTTTCTACATGTGAAAATTAAACAGAGGGGATTAAGGGATCCTCTATCACAGCCAGGATCACAACTCAGCTCCTCTACCTTCTCTCTCAGTATGACTTCACTGAACTTGTCCTGTTCACTTACACATACCAACACAACTACCCACGATACAAAGGTGTAGCAAAGTTCTAATGAACTCATAGAATTTTGTATTGTACAGAA